AAGCAGCACCACTGAAGTGCAACATAACTTCTCAGATTTTCTTCATCAGAAAATAAAAAATGACCCAATATCTATACTTCAGTGTTTTTGTAAAGAATAAAGAGGCCAAAACATGGAAAAGGAATTTGTAAACTATAATGTTCTATATTGACCACAACCCAAACGTGTTATCATTTGTGAAGGCACCATGTGTTACTTGAATTGTTGAATTGAATTTTCACTAAGACTCGAGGAACTGCCATTTTATTCTCTAATAAGCAAAGGTTTTAAATTTACACTGAAATGGATACATTGCCTTTATTGCAACCTTTGAAGATTTAATCTTTGAATAGTCATTCATCCTCCCTGTGCTGCTGTAATGTAGAAGGAAGTGCTTTAGTTCTCTTCACCTGGTGCTTCGAGTAACGCCATCCATCAGCTAGTCTGTGTGGGGGGAATTTAGGGATAGCCACACCTCAGAGATGGTGATTATAGATTACTCTGTCCAGGTGACTTTATGTGTAGGTGCTAAGGTCCAATCATTCCTCGTTCAGGAAACAGGGGAAGGAACAAGATTTAGTTTCCCATATGTTTTTCTAAGAAATTAACACATACTAAACCCTTTGCTAAATGTTGGGAATATAAATATGCATCTGACCATGTGCATCCTCGAAAGTTGTTCACAGTCTACTGTGAAATACACATACATAAGCTCATTGTTTCTAAACAATGTAGAGAGTCCTATGAAGACAAGAAGGCTATTCTATAGAGAATAGGTTTTCAAGAACTTGCTATTTCAAACACACTGGGAAGTTAGTGGTTTCCATCCCAGATGGAAAAACTTGCGAAAATGTCAACATGTCCTCATCCCTGGGCAATGGAACTGAAACAGAATAAGTACATGGGAAGGCAGGGATCCCTCCCTCCAGCTCGCCAGCCTGAACAGTCTCTTAGGTGGGACTCAGAAGGAAAAGAGCAGTAAGAAAAAGGAGGTTTGGGCAGGGGAGAAGCGGAACAAGGATGTGAAGGAAAAAAGAAATCCAGCAACCTGTCGCAATTCACTGGCAATTTCAGTTTACAGACCTTGATGGAAAGCAGTGAATTTTAGTTTTAAGGAGCACATTTCTCTTTGTTCTAGGGCAACTATTTGAAGTAACGGAAAATATTTGCAATACTTTTCCAATTTACTTACAGTTTTATTAATTATATCTGAAAACTATTAATTGGTAAATATTAGAAAGATTAAATTCTGCTACTCTACTGAAAACAACATTGGTTTTATCCACTGGATACGTTTACGCTTTTGTGAAATGCCTCCACATACAATTTTCCGTGCCTAATTTGAGGAGGATGCTTATGTAATATTTAAATTTAACCAGAATTCCTGATATTGTGCTACTGTGTTTCTTTAAGTAGTTGAAATTCTGAGCGGAGTGCGGAAAACTCTTAGGTGGGGGTGGGGAGCAGGGATGGAGCATAGGCCTTGGGCAACTAATGATCATTCTGAACATGGCTTAAGTGTCAAGGTCCATGGATCACCAAACAGAAATATACCTGGGATTCTTTTGTAAACTGTCAAGTACAAAATGACGTTGCCATTTTTCTTAGTCCTAACTAAAATGCAATGTGTTAAAGATGCACTCAGGTGACATTTATATAGGCATAAAGTTTGCATGCTTTGATTGTTTTGACCATACTTGATATTTTAAGCAGTTTTGAAACTTGATTTTTGAATTTGTAATATACTAGTGACACAAATCCTTTCATTGTGAGAAAATCTTCAATATTTAAGATTATATATCTTAATTTTATTTTATATCTTAATTTTATCTTATATTTTATATATTATAATACACTCTGTAGTAAGAAAAGCACTGACTTTATAGTTTTCTAGATCAAAATTTGAAATTCACCTTAAAATTTCTTTGCTAAATGACTTTAGACAAAATTTTTGACCTCTCTGTTCTTCAATCTCCAATCTGCAAAGTAGAAACAAGTACATCTATTTCATGGGAGTATTGTGGTTCCTGAAAGTGATACAGAATGTGTAGAATGTTAAACATTGCCTGGCACAGTATTTAAAAAGTCGTCATTGGGTACCTCATGATTAATATCTCTATCATGAAAATTTACATAGATATTGCTTTGTGGGTAATTTAAATTATTTTTATACTGAGTGACTTAATTCTTAGAATAAATTTCACTTCATGTTTAGTAATTACATTACTAAATTAAACTAAAAAGCAAATGCTATGATATTTAAATAAACTACATTTGGCATAGGTCTACAGAATCACACACATTTACGATTAATAATTTTCTTCTTAGTTAGCCTCTGTCAGGATTCCTGCCAATGAGTTATTTTACAATTCTGTCACTAGAAAAAATAAAGTAGAAGGGACACAAAACAGAGTGAAAGAACCCTGGTTTGGACTTATATGCTCAGCTCAGGATCATTTCTCTGCTATTTATTAGACCTGTGATACTGAGCAATCATTATCCTTGTGTACTCCTCCAGGCATCCTTCAACAGTCGGCTCAGGGAGGCCAAGGGAGCTTCCTGGCCATTAATCATGTATTGATGTTTCTTTCATCTGTGAACATATGGACTTGGTTACTCTCATTAGGAAAGCAAAATGGCAAGGCTTAAACGGTTTCATTCACGCAAGATGATTTATTACAAAGAAATAAACAAATACAACATATTTTTCAGAGTTTGTATCTTACACTATAAGAATTTCTTTTGTCCACTGTTCTGTACTTTTAGACAATAGAAGAAGCTCTGCTTTTCAGTGCCTCAGACGGAGAAGGAAAAGTGATTTCTTCACTGACAGCCATTTTGGGTACAAATATCGGAAGCAGCTCAACCCAAGAGCAAGAAACATTGACAATTTTTTGTCCATGAAGCTAGATTAGTGGACGATCTTGCCTGCCACTTATAAGCCAGGAGTCTCAGGATTTGCCAAGACCTTTGAAATAGTTCAAAGATAGAACCTTCAGCACCAAAGAACTAGAAAGCAGTGCAAGTGGTATTTCTTGAACAATACTATGTTCAGAAAAATTTTGTCTATTGACCTACAATTAACTATTGAATACTTTGTTGCCTGGGAAGAAGGTGGACATTTTCACTTATTTTGGTAAAAATTATCCTAAAACATGAAACCTACAAACATGATAAAATATTAACTTAAAAATTACTTAAAAATACTTAAGAAATACTTAGAATCAAATTTTCTACAAGTTCTAATGTTGTGCATGAACAAAATTATCATTAAAAATCCTACAAGTTGCCCTCAAGTAGACATGACTTTATATATAAAATTATGTCTTAACACATAGTTGTATATGTATTATATGCATGAATTAATTTTATATATTGTATTTTATACTCACAACAGCCTTATGAGTCCAGTGTTACATCCATTTTTACCAACAAGGCTCAGATTGGATAAATAACTGACTGGACAAAGTTTATCAAGTAGTAAGTTACATATGCAACTTTAAAATACGCATTCCTTAGTGTATCAATATTGGTTCATTAATTGTAACAAATGCACCACACTAATGCAAGATATTAATAATAGGACCAGGTTGGGGGCAGGAAAGGGAGTTTATGGGAACTCTGTACTTTCTGCTCAGTTTTTCTATAAACCTAAAACTTCCCTAAAGAATAAAGTCTATTAATTAAAAAAACACTTTAAAAAAGTCATATTCTTGGGGCCGGCCTGGGGGCTCAGTGGTTAAGTTCGTATGTTCCACTTTGGTGGCCTCGGTTCACCAGTTTGGATCCCAGGTGTGGATATGGCACTGCTTGGCAAGCCCTACTGTGGTAGGTGTCCTACATATAAAATAGAGGAAAATGGACACGGATGTTAGCTCAGGGCCAGTCTTCCTCAGCAAAAAGAGGAGTATTGGTGGCAAATGTTAGCTCAGGGCTAATCTTCCTCAACAAAAAAAAAGAAGTCCATATTCTTTACATTATACTTGGCAAAGCAAGTGAAGCTTATTTCATTCAAAATATCTTGGTCAGGATTCCAACAGTGAAAAAAACATGTCACATCCTCTTTCTCCTCTTAAAAAAGACAAAAATACTGAACAAATTGCATTCACCCCAAAGGGGAAAAAAATAAGAACCTCGCTTTAAAGGACAGAAAAAAAAGGATAAAACTTCATTGTGTAATAGAAAGTGTCAAGGAGAATACAGTTATTATATACCCAGAAGAGTGCTTCCTCTATCTAAACAAGAATATCTAGAACCTCCCACTCTAGTATTGATATGACAGCCCTAGAAGGTTTAGTTCAGGAGGTCTCAAAGTGTGATCCCTGGACCAGTGCATCAGCATCATGTGGGATCTTGTTAGAAATGTAATACTCTGGTCCCTCCCCAAACCTACTGAATCAAAAACCCCAGGGGATGGGGCCCAGAAATCTGTTTTAACAAGCCCTGCACATGTCATTTTTTTTTTTTTTTTTGGAGGAAGATTAGCCCTGAGCTAACATCTCCTGCCAATCCTCCTCTTTTTGCTGAGGAAGACTGGCCCTGAGCTAATATCCGTGACCATCTTTCTCTACGTTATACGTGGGACACCTACCACAGCATGGCTTTGCCAAGCTGTGCCATGTCCACACCAGGGATCTGAACCGGCGAACCCCAGGCAGCCAAGAAGGAAAACATGCAAACTTAACCGCTGCACCACCAGGCCAGTCCCTGCACATGTCTTTGACGCACCAGGTTTGAGAACCTTTGACTTAGTGAAACTATGTGTTTGATTTTACCCTTTCAGAGTTGGATGAATCCACACTTCATCACAGGCTCTGCAACCTTGGACAAGTTTTTCCCTAAACATCCACAGTGTGAACTCTGGGATCAAGATCTCATCTGTAGATCTTGGAGCACAACTCAAGGGGACAATATTACACACCTACCAGAAGCATTGTGGGGTTCAAATTAGATCATATGAAATAAAATAAATCAAAGCACATTGTAAAATTTAAAGAGATTCTGAACTCAGAAAGTGACACTACTCTGTATTTTAATGCAACTCATAATAGAAATTTTCTACCTTAGCAACTGTCCAGTGTTAACTGATCCCATCCAATCTCACTTTGATTTTTGCTCTTCTTGTTACTGTCACTGGTAGTTGGAGCAGTCCATCACCTTCCTCATGTTTCAGGGACACCTCAGATCTAGATTGTCTTCCAGGACAATTTGCAGGTGGGTTTTCAGGGAAAAGGAGATATAGATGGAGAGTAAAGAATGTGAATAAATTATTTTTGTTAGTAAAAATTACACATTTCCATGTGCTGCTTCTTCTGGCTTCCTAAAAAGATCCACACTCTAGCTTAACTCTTCTGTTGTAAGCTTTATTAGATGCCTGAATTTTGAGAGATATTACTTATTTTTACTCCCTATTCATGTTTTGAATGACAAGATGCTGCCATGTTTTCTATATTTGCCATGAGACAGAATAAAATACCCATCGACTCTCTTTAGCTGTGTCAATTTTCTTATTAAACTGTTCAATCCTCAATGGCTAGTTTGAGATGATGCAGAAATGTTATGTGTTTATAAATATATGCCAAGAGCACACTAAGCAATTCCACAGCACAGATAAAGAATATCATTAAAGATGAAAAATTATATTGTATCTTAAAACAAATAACAAAATACTTGACTTAAAAAGCAAATATCCTGTCATACTTGCTATTATTTTGAGGGATGGTAAACTATTAGGGGAGTTAAAAGGAAAATTGTCTTTCTATAGTTTCTAAAAGTGAATGAAAAATAATGCTACATATAACAAATAATAGTACTGAGTAAAATCAAAGACAAAGGAAAAAACTAAGAGACAACTCCCTCAGCGTTCTGCAATACTACTGAAGGTTTCAGTGTAGATTTTGACAAATCAGAGTGGCATCAGTTTCTTGGAATTGTTTTCGCGGAAAAGGATAACTAAACTGTGAGCCAATGGGTAGAGAACAAAGAGACAAACTGAGAATGGACTTAAATTAGATACTTGAAAAATTCGCCAAATCCTCCCAAAGATAAAGAGAAAGCTGAGCCAAGGACAAGCTAAGGTCGAGAGCTATAAAGACGTTGTACCCTGGTAGAGAAGTCTTTATGCTTCACAGCCTGTCCCTATAATTTGACCTGCGTTGGTTTTCAAGGGGAAGTAACCTGACCATTTTGTACTCATAAGATGTACCTCTCAAGCAGATTCTCCAGAAATCAGCTGTAGAACATGGAGGAAAGAGTTGAACCTCTGTGGACATCAGCTTCCATGGCTATGAAATAAAAAAAGGCTTGACTACAGAATATGGAAACTCTTCTATAACATTATTGTATGATTCAATGCCATATTTGTGTGTTGTGGTAAGATAGTTGACAGTATGATAGAGTAAATGCTATGATGTCAACATCTAGGTTAAAATTCTGACTCTTTCTCTTGCTAGGTGTGTAAATTTGGGCAAATTATTTGACCTCTATTTACTAAGCCAGAGTTTCCTCATTTTAAATGGGAAAAATATCACATTCTTAGCAGGTTGATGTGAGAAATAGAGACAAAATAGAGGGAGTACTTACTGCTATTGTTGGTACACAGTAGGTACCCAGTATAAGAAGTTGTGATGATGATGATGATGATGGTGGTGATACTGATGATGGTGATGATTTCATAGGCAAAGGAGAATTTTAAAAAAGGCATAAAAGGAGTTGAATATTCCTTATTTGTATTATTATACTGAAATTCAGTATGATTTACCTCTTCGCTATCTATCTGATAACTTTTGGTGTATTTTTTATTGCTGAGTTTATTGATGTCAATCCTATTTTCCAATAAAAATTTAAAGTGGTGATCTGAAATAATCTGGTCATGTTCTAGTGTTCCATTACAAACAATTTAAAAAGTGAAGTGTTATGTAACAAAAAGCTCACCAGCCTTTAGGGTTTCCGTGCTAACAGAATGCTTGGGCCTGGGCTTGGGTTTTGTGTAAAGATTCTATGTGCCGAGTCGTCTGTTTCTCCAATTGTGCTTCATTCTCTAAAGGATTGTAGCAGGTACATAAATTAGAAGAGCTCTCCAAATCCTGACTTCAAATTTGAAAGAAAAAGCCTTCCTTTCAAAGTAATTTTATTCTGTCCATGATTTATTCCATTATTCTGAACTAGTATTTGTATATTAGAGCTTTAAAATAAACAGAAAAGACACAATTATATTAGCTATGACATGAAATACCTGGCTTTAGAGAGATGGGTATATTTTCTGAAGTATATGTACAGGTAATTAGTTCTAACTCAGGGCAATGTTCTCATAAATAGGGAGCAAATATTAGCAAATTCATTAATTAGTCATGCTTACACTTCTGTCATTTGGAATAATGTGTTTGTTTGAACTAAGGTCTCCTATTTATTAGAGTCATTAATGACTGTCGGTAAGAGATAGTGCTCCAGCATTTCACCAACATTGAAGAAATGCACAGGTATTACATTTCTTAGCAGAAGACCCTTCTCAGTCTTTATTTTTGTAGAATGAATACCAAGCATAGTATGAAACTGTCTTGATCTGTTTCAGCCACTTTCCTTTGTTTCATTCATCACACTGTGCTCCCTCTGCCTTTTAAAAAGTTTTTAGAACATTTATTTAATTGTATTATAATGCCTGTTTACATTTCTGCCCTCCTTAATGCTTCTCATAAGCATCATTATGTGTTGTTGAATGACTGTGAAAACTCATTTCTACACAAATATTTTAACAGACTTTCAAAAAATTATTTTAACAAATTAAAATATTTCAGCTGTTTAATATATATGCAGTCATTGCTTTACATTCATTCATATGGCATGTGTGTTATTTTTATGTTTCTAAACATGTATAAATACAAGGATTATGATCAGAAATGAGAATATTTCCAAAAGCTTTTAAAAATCTAAAAAAATTATAGTTTTATTTCAAGACCACAAAAATAAAAATATATACTCATACTTGTAATAGGTTATCTACATGACAATGTCTTATATATGACATTATTACAAGTTATTGATTCTAAATACATTATTTTCTAAAGATATATTAAAAATATCATCAATAAAATTAAAGGAAATTATATAAAATAGTCACTGAAATACTTTTATTTTTGATATTTTATGCAACTAGTTTTGAAGCATTATATGATCTCCCACTTTAGTAGCAAGGTATACTAAGATTATTTCTAAATTTTCATAATGAACTAGGGCAGCGTTTTCCAAAGAGTGTTCCAGAAAATACGAGTATCTGTAAATGTTCTTTTTCCAAAAATGAGTTTATGATATATAGGTGAAAAATAAACATGAAAAGGTGTTCGACATCATATGCCATTAGGCAACTGAAAATTAAAACAACAACGAGATACCACTACACAGTCATTACAATGATTAACACCCAAAAAACTGACAATTCCAATTGTTGGCAAATATGCAGAGCAACAGGAATCCTTGTTCATGCCAGTGGGAATGTAAAATTACTCAGCCGCTCTGGAAGACTGTTTGCCAATTTTATATAAAAATAGACTCTTAGGAGCCAGCCAGGTGGTGCAGCGGTTAAGTGCGCACGTTCCACTTTGGTGGCTTGGGGTTCACTGGTTCAGATCCCGGGTGCGGACACGGCACTGCTTGGCAAGCCATGTGGTGGTAGGCATGCCACATATAAAGTAGAGGAAGATGGGCACGGATGTTAGCTCAGGGCCAGTCTTCCTCAGCAAAAAGAGGAGGATTGGTGGCAGATGTTAGCTCAGGGCTAATCTTCCTCAAAAAAAGAAAAAAAACAAACCAAAGTCTGTTAGAATACAATCCAGCAATCACACTACTAAGTATTTACCCAACTGAATTGGAAACATATGACCACATAAAAGCCTACATGTTAATGTTTATAACGTTTTTTCCATAATGACTAAAAACTGGAAGCAACCACGATGTCCTTCACTAGATGAATATACTGTGGTACATCCATTCAGTGGAATGTGATTCAACAATAAAAAGAAATGAGCTCTCAAGCTATGGAAAAACATGGATAAATCTTAAATGCATGTTGCTATGGGAAAGAAGTCAATCTTAAAATCCTTCATACTATACGATTCTGATTATATGACATTCTGGAAAAGGAAAAACTAGAAATAGTAACCAGATCCATGATAGCCAGGGCTCAGGAAGGGGAAGGGAAAGAGGACTGAATAAGTGAAACACAGAGGGTTGTTTAGGGCAATGAAACTATTATGTACGATATTGTAGTAGTGAACACAAGATACTAAGAATTTTCCAAAATCCACAGAACTTTACAACACAAAGAGTAAACTTAAAGTATGAACATATTTAAAAAAATCACTTAGGAGGCCACAGACCCCAGGATAGAATGCAGAACATGATAAGAGAATCTAAAGTATTACAAATATGTGAAACAATCTCACTTAAAAGGGTGAAGGGAGTGGGTGCTGACCCAAGTAACTTTAGAGATGAGTGGAGACTGTAAGACCAAAACAGGAGCTGTATTTAAGCTTATACAGGAACTGTATACAAGCAATGTATTTGAATTAACAAAATTTTTCACCACAGGGGTATGAGTTAACAATTCTGATACTGCTATACTTATATACTAGAATTCTGTAATTAAGGAAATGGATGGCAGATTGGGAGCCAGGTTTATAACTGTTAGAATGGGAGTTTATAGAGAGTTACAGAGGCCCAATTGTCTACGTGGTAATCGATTAGGGTTAGAGATTTCAGTGTGAACTCTCTTGTTTAACTGAATAGAGATATAGATAGTTTTATATATGTGTATATGTGTGTGTATACATGTGTGTGTGGATATACACAAATTAATGTGTCTGTGTGTGTATATATGTGTCTCTTAATGCTCTGTCAGCTAAGTGGGCCTAGAAGCAACCACACCACAGCAGCAACAAGCCCACCTAGTGCCCAGAGCTTGGCTTTGATAACAATCTCCAGCAAGGGAATCAGGGTTCCTTGAAAAAATGGCTGAGTTTAGGACTGGGGAAGGAAGTATTATATACGAACCTGTAGTGTCCTATAGTGACAGAAACTAAGAAGGTTTGGGAAAAAACACACTCCCTGATAGTTATCAAAGAGATGTAGGAGCCAACCGAAAGAGCTCTCTCAAAGACAAAAACTGGACCAACTTAAGTAACAAATTAAATAAAGCAATACTGAATTATAACTTAAAATACAAAACAAGTATCCACGATTTTATTTTTATAGTAATAAATTATTGGATAAATAAATAAACGGGAGAGAAAAAAATCCAATCTCCTGTGCAGAAGATTACCAAATAATTTACTCAATCTACTCTTAAAAACATGGAGCATAAGGCCTCAATTCTTAAATGTGGGCTGTGCATAATGATCTTCTTCCAAAAAGTACGGTATGGAAAGGGAGGAGAAAAAGAATAACTTTACAGTGAAGAAACTTCACAGGTACCACATCAAGCCAGGTAATGAACATTATCATCAAGAGTGATATCATAGTGACAGAGTGTACCCTTGATATGTGATAAGAATGGCATTTTATTTCTGTGGTCTTCTTCCCAAAAACCCATAGGCCCATTCTAATCTTGAGAAAAATATCGAACAAATCCCAATTTAGGGACATTCTACTAAATATCTGATCAAAAATACTCAAAATTACCAAGATCATGAGAAACAAGGAAAATCCCAGAAGCTTACAACCAAGAGAAGTGTAACTAGACATGGTAACTAAATGTAATATGATGCCCCGGATGAGATCTTTCCTAGGACAGAAAAATGATATTTGGTAAAACTGAGGAAAACTGAATAAAGTATGACCTTTAGTTAATAACAATATTTCAATATTTGTCCATTAACCTCAACAAAAGTACCATAATAATGTAAGATATTAGTAGGAGAAACTGGCCATAGGGTACTGTGTTATCTTTGCAATAATTTTATAAATCTAAAACTATTCTAAAATTTAAAATTTATTAAAAATATCAACACAACAAAAACAAAACAAACAAAAAACAGTTCAAATGTTGAAGTCCAAGAGACATAGCATATTACAACCACCTCTTGAGAATTGAAATGCACATTGGTACCTTAAAGACCCTAAGAATGTATACAGAATAGACAACTTTTTAATTTTCTTATATTAACAAATTTTTATTATATTCACTTTTAAATTTTCTGTGGATCTAATATTCCAAGATTCGTCTTTTATGAAATGATCAATTAATGCCTCATTAGGCCTAGAATGGAGATTTGAATATATGAAATACTAGTTTATGTATATTTATTCCCTCTCCTTAAACACCAAACACAAGAAATATCTGATTTGGGGGAGGTTAAGAAACTAAGTAGAGAATAACTCATGATTTATTAATGCATAGGACTCAGTAGTACACAAGAATGCTTAGTAAACTTCAGCTGGGTGGTGATGATGTTAAAAATAGGAATCAAATTGCAAAGTGAAGTGTGTTGTGTTTGTACTCTCTGTGACCAAGAAAGAAACCATTAAAATTGGGAGTCAGGCACGATGAGTCAAACTGAAAAATAACACTGAGTGCTGGAGGGGAGCAAATAAGGCTCCAGTTACAGGATGGTGTTTTTTTGTGAGTTCTGGGGAAGAAAGCAGCATACATGAGCTAAAAGAATGGTCCTTGATGTTACTCAGAGCCCAAATGACACTACTGGGGATTCCTATTAGAGACCACAAACAAGAGTGTTTCCTTTCTTTACCTATTTTGAGAAGAAAGATGAGCAGCAATGTTCTGGGGAAGAATGGAAGCAGTGAGAAGTAAGGACCTAGTGGTCCACAGTGCGGCAGTAAGTAGAGTGCACATGAAGGCATGAACAGTGGTTGAAATGAGGTATTGAGCTGGTGTCAATGAAAGAGCAGCAGCAGGGTGAGGAACATATGGAGATGAGCACTGAGAACTGGCCCATTGCAGAACAAGGCTATTAGAACTGAAGAAAGCAGCAATTGGGGACCGGGAAGAGAGCAGAACAGTGGTGTGATGGGTGGCCTAAGAGGAACATCAAACCAG